TTGTGAACCACACGTGTCACGAGAGTTTCTCTGTCGAACGGGGCAAATCTCACAGTGGGGAGGTGTGCACTAAAGGCTAGATCCCTTTCCCAGACTGAGCCCCATTCAGACTTCTCCATCTGTCTTACACGCAGCAAGGTTGGGAGCCAGAAGAACATTGAAAAGAAGAAATCAGAGAGGAGAAGGAATGGAGAATCGCTGTCTGGAGAGGTTGCTCCCTCCAGCCCAGGACCTCATCCAAGCACACACCCCGAGACAAATTTACCCAGCCTAGCACTCAGCCAATGAAATAAATCATAACCTATACCTTAGCTAGCTTCTCTGACCCTAAATTGCTCTCCAGATTCCTAACCTCCATCAGTGTTTTATTGGAATGCTTTTTAAACTTGAAATTAATGATGATGTTTTGTGGTTTAGGCTTAGGGTTTTTAACCTTTGTAAACCGCCATGACCTAGGACAACGCTGGCCTAAATATCCAGTGGGGCTTCCAGCCATCCCCAGAGACGGGAAAATGCTGCCCTTCGATTTGGAAGACAAAATGGCGGCTGTCCTGCTCTCTTGTAAAAGACCAGCTGGGGGGGGGAGAACACGGGCTCCTGATTGGCTCCTTCTCAGCATTTAATGGTCCCAGACTTCGTTTGCTCCACATGCTACCAGGCCTGTTAATTAATCCTTTTTTTTTTTTTTTTAACTTTGCCTTGGAATGGAATTTCCCCACATTCATAGGGAGGCCAACTTTACCTCATAAAATCCTTTGGCTAAAGTATTTCCTTCAGCTCATCAGCAGTTCCTTCTTTGGACTCCTGCACATGTTCTTAGGTTGCCAAACATCATGTTGGACATCCCTGCACAGGAGCAAGAACATGAAGTCGTGTGAGGAAAGTTCCGACTCAGAATTTAATTCTTGTCTTGAAAGGGGAAGGGTTTGGAGAATGGGACACGGTTTTGAACAAGTGGCCTTTTATCTCTTCTTCCTGGTATAGCAACAGCAGAGTCAGTAGCCAGGACTAGCTAAGCTGCTGTGGGGATTGTGTGAGCCGGAAAGTAAAGGAAGCCTGCTTTGACTTGAGTTCGACCACGGACACGTCATGTGGCTTTCTTGGCAGCAGTAAAGAAGTGGTTCACCACTGCCTTCTTTGGAGATGTGCTTCAACTTCCAGCCCTGGGAGTATCTGATGGTCTCCCATCCAGTTTTACCCTGTTAACTTTTCAAGATCAGCCATGGTTGACCAGCTTACCTCCTCGAAGGATCATCAACTTCCCCTCCCATTCACTATGTATAAATTGGCATGACAAGAGAAATGAAGAATCAAAATACACTGAGAATAGAATCAGATGGGGGGTGTTCAGTGAACCTTCTGCTCCTGGACAGAAGCCCCTACAACTTCTTGTAATCCCAAGTCATCCCTACCTGCTTTTATTCTCGCTTCTCATTGTTGCCCCCCCACCAAGAACTGGGAAGCAAGGAGTAGGGTGTGAGTCACCTTCCCCAGCCCAGTTGCAAGAGGCAGGAGAAGGGAGCAGCTATGTGGAAACAGAGGCATA